TGGATGTCGACAAACAGCAAGATTTTAGAGAGATATCTCAAGAGACTGAGGAAGGATGCGAAAACTTGGAAAATCTGGAAGTGCTCGGCGAAATCCTTGGAGAAGGCGAATTTGGTATCGTCTATAAAGGTCGCTATGGTAGAAAAGACGGGAACATGATTGCTGTTGCAGTTAAGAGGCTAAAAGGTAAACCAAGTAGATTGACAAATGCTCTCCCTGATGAAAATGTCAACTCATTAATTACCAAAGGCAATAGCGCACCTCTTTTCATAAGCTTTTCATTTTGGTGGAAAGCATCAATAAATTATACTCCTGCCACTTCTGAGGACCTTTTGCAGCCTTTCAAAAGCTACTTTTCCGTATCATTAGTTTGTTACTACATAGCCGAATACGACAAAAGAACTACGTAAAGTGAAGCCGGTAATCGAAAGAGAGCCCTGTATTTTCTTTATATGTCTGTAGATCCTTGTGCCATTGCTAGAGAAGCCTTGCTTAATGAGATAAGGGCCTTAAAGCAAGCTGGGAAACATCCTAATATTGTAACTTTAATTGGCACACGGATAGAGGGAGGTAAGTTAGAGAGTGATCTTCGCAGTTATGAACATAAGTTAAGCAATAGTGAAACGATACCTGAAAAAAAAAAATACCTTCGTGAAATCGCTCAAGATCTCGCTATCCTAATGACATATTTGCCTGAATTATCTTGTCGGCGAAACTTTCACTTTTCCTAAGCTCTTTTCATGAGAAATATTTCCCTTTTTATAGCGCAAATAGCCACATTCAGCTTTTACAAACAAGCAGTGTAGTGATTTGCAGCCACCACTTGTTGTTTATAACTTGGGCCAAGCAATTTCTCTCGTGAGATACTAAGCCTCCCGGTTAGCTCAATGGATAGAGCGCTGGACTATTGTGCGGGAGGTCGAGGGTTCGAGCCCCGGCCGGACCAACACTCAGGGTCTTAAAATAATTGACAAGAATATGGTACCTTTCTATAACATCAAGAAATGATTAGATATTCTAGTCTTCTCGGATAGGGACGAATAAATCC